CCCCCCCCTGTTAAAACATAAATTAACTGTGGTTTATCACATCTTTGGAAAGCTGAGTTCAATTTCTCTAGCCACACCCAGGCCTGATTACTGCCACACCTGTTCTCAATCAAGAAATCACTTAAATAGGACCTGCCTGACAAAGTGAGGTAGACCAAAAGATCCTCAAAAGCTAGACATCATGCTGCGATCCAAAGAAATTCAGGAACAAATGAGAAACAAAGTAATTGAGATCTATCAGTCTGGAAAAGGTTACAAAGCCATTTCTAAAGCTTTGGGACTCCAGCGAACCACAGTGAGAGCCATTATCCACAAATGGCGAAAACATGGAACAGTGGTGAACCTTCCCAGGAGTGGCCGGCCGACCAAAATTACCCCAAGAGCGCAGCGACGACTCATCCAAGAGGTCACAAAAGACCCCAGAACAACATCCAAAGAACTGCAGGCCTCACTTGCCTCAATTAAGGTCAGTGTTCATGACTCCACCATAAGAAAGAGACTGGGCAAAAATGGCCTGCATGGCAGAGTTCCAAGACGAAAACCACTGCTGAGCAAAAAGAACATAAAGGCTCGTCTCAGTTTTGCCAGAAAACATCTTGATGATCCCCAAGACTTTTGGGAAAATACTCTGTGGACTGACGAGACAAAAGTTGAACTTTTTGGAAGGTGTATGTCCCATTACATCTGGCGTGAAAGTAACACGGCATTTCAGAAAAGGAACATCATACCAACAGTAAAATATGGTGGTGGTAGTGTGATGGTCTGGGGCTGTTTTGCTGCTTCAGGACCTGGAAGACTTGCTGTGGTAAATGGAACCATGAATTCTGCTGTCTACCAAAAAATCCTGAAGGAGAATGTCCGGCCATCTGTTCGTGACCTCAAGCTGAAGCGCACTTGGGTTCTGCAGCAGGACAATGATCCAAAACACACCAGCAAGTCCACCTCTGAATGGCTTAAGAAAAACAAAATGAAGACTTTGGAGTGGCCTAGTCAAAGTCCCGACCTGAATCCGATTGAGATGCTGTGGCATGACCTTAAAAAGGCGGTTCATGCTCGAAAACCCTCCAATGTGGCTGAATTACAACAATTCTGCAAAGATGAGTGGGCCAAAATTCCTCTACAGCGCTGTAAAAGACTCATTGCCAGTTATCGCAAACGCTTGATTGCAGTTGTTGCTGCTAAGGGTGGCCCAACCAGTTATTAGGTTTAGGGGGCAATCACTTTTTCACACAGGGCCATGTAGGTTTGGATTTTTTTCCCCCCCTTAATAATAAAAACCTTCATTTAAAAACTGCATTTTGTGTTTACTTGTGTTATCTTTGTCTGATATTTAAATTTGTTTGATGATCTGAAACATTTAAGTGTGACAAACATGCAAAAAAATAAGAAATCAGGAAGGGGGCAAACACTTTTTCACACAACTGTATACATATATATACACGTTTCGGATCCCCGAAACGTTACCAGGCCAGATGAGGAATGTAATCTCTCCAGGGTGTTCTGGGTCTACCCCGGGGCCTTTTAACAGTTGCTCCGTGCCCGGAAAACCTCTAAAGGGAGGCGTCCAGGAGGATCCTGATCAGATGTTGAACCACCTCAGCTGGTACCTTTCGATGTGAAGGAGCAGCAGCTCTACTCTGAGCTCCCTCCAGATGTCTGATCTCCTCACTCTATCTCAAACGCTGAGCCCAGACTCCCTACGCAATCCACCGTTTTCCAGCAGTGAACCATGAACTCAGACTTGAAGGTCCTGATTCTCATCCTGACCGCTTCACACTCGCACTGCTGCAAACCGCCGCAGTGCTGCTGAAGATCACCTTCTGAAGGAGCCAATAGAACCACATCATCTGCAAATTCTGAGGCCCTCAAACCAGACATTCTCCTCCCCCCGGCTACACCTTGAAATCCTGTCCATAAAAATCACAAACAGGATAAGTGACAAGGGACAACCCTGGCAGAGGAACTATCTAGTTTATACCGCTACACCTCTGGTTCCTCCTCTACCAGAGAGGTGACATTCCATGTCCCGAGAGTCAGCACGTCTAGGGCCCCGCCAGTCTCAATCAAACTAATCAGATGAGAGGAACATTTATTAGAATTAAGCTGAACTTTTATTATCTGCAATGATCCCAACAGGCAGAAAACTCCAGGAACTGGAGAACAGTGGAGACAAAAGCAGAAGCAGTGACAGTGGCTTCATGTTAAGTTTCTGTAGTGAAAAAAGACCGACTGGTAATATTTCCATTACACGTTCTAAACAACATGTCATGACATTGACGAAAAAGCCACAACAGCACATGATTAAATACAAGGTGAGACGTTTCCAGACTTTATCAAACATGATGTGAGGTTTCTTTCTACTTTCTATGAAGACGACGGAACATCAATCAGTGGAGTTGGGTCAATTTCAGGCTGAGCCGTTCCAGAGCGTAGCAATCAGCAAGCTGTGCCGATGTGCATTATTCATAATCAATATGATGTTTGTTTACAAATCACAGCCTACACACAGAATTGGATGTAGTCTTCGTGCCCTCACCCATTTGTCGGTGGACTGACGTTTTGAAGCCTCGAGTTTGGCCTTTTGGTCTTCGCCATGTTGTTTTTTTGCAACCAGAAGGGACACTAGAGGGCGGAGCTAAGTTAAGCTAACTAAATGGTTTCTCTCCTGTATGAATTCTGTCTCTTCAGATATGTCTTGCAGCCAAACATTTTTACCACAAACTGAGCAACAATTGTTTCTCATCAGTGTCACTTTGATAAACCATCATTATTCATCATTATTTACAGAACCTGACTGAGGTTCTCTGGTCTCCTTGCTGCTGGCTGGAGGTTCTGCCTCTCTGTTCTCCTCAGTCTGAGTCTGATGAAGCTGTGAGGACTGACGACCGACACATTCATGGTTTCTGAGCTGATAAAGCCAAGTGAATCTTTGGTCACAAACACTGCAGCTGAACCTTTTCTCTCCTGTGTGGGTTTTTGTGTGTTTATTCAGATGTGACTTAAAGCCAAATCTTTTCCCACACTCGGAGCAGCCGAACGGTTTCTCTCCTGTGTGGATTCTCATGTGTCTCTGTAAATCTCCACTCTGTGTATAAGATTTCTCACAAAGTGAGCAGCTGAATGGTTTCTCTCCTGTATGAGATCTCATGTGTACTTTCAGATTTCCACTATCACTGAAACTTTTTCCACACACTGAGCAGCTGAATGGTTTCTCTCCTGTGTGAGTTCTAATGTGTTTATTCAGATGTGACTTGAAGCCAAATCTTTTCCCACACAGTGAGCAGCTGAAAGGTTTCTCTCCTGAATGAGATCTTATGTGAACCTTCAGATTACCACCATCACTGAAGGCTTTTCCGCACACTGAGCATTTGTATGGTTTTTCTCCTGTGTGGATTCTCATGTGTTTCTGTAAATTCCCACTCTGTGTAAAAAATTTCTGACAAACGGAGCAGCTGGATGGTTTCTCTCTTGTATGAGTTACCATATGTCTCCTTAAATTTCTCTCGAAGACAAATCTTTTCCAACACTGAGAGCAGCTAAATGGTTTCTCGCCAGCACTACATCTTGAACCACTGACAGAAACCTTTTTAAAGTTTAAACCTGACTGAGGTTCTCTAGTCTCCGTCCAGTCATCACTGTTATCAGTCTCAGGTTCAGAAGAGTCTCCAGTCTTGTTATCAGGATCTGGTTCTAGATCTGAGTTCTTGTCTGGTTCTGGTCCTCCACAGTCCTCTCCATCAGCTTCTGTTTCCATCTGTTCAGTTTGTCTTTGATGAAGCTGTGAGGACTGAGCTTCCTCTTCATCGTCTTCACTCTTCACAGGAGTGAATGTGAACTTGGTGATATCAGCCTCCTCCAGACCTTGAAGCTGCTCTCCCTCCTGACTGGTCCAGAGTTCCTCCTGTTCCTCTTTAATGTGTGGGGGCTCTGGGTCCTCCTGGTCCTCTTTAATGTGTGGGGGCTCTGGGTCCGCCTGGTCCTCTTTAATGTGTGGGGGCTCTGGGTCCTCCTGGTCTAGATTGGAGCTCCACTCCTGCTGCTCAGAGGGAACCTCTTCTTTAACCACCAACAGCTGCTGGACGTCTGCAGGAAACAGGAAACACACATTGAGGAAAAACCAGGAGTTCATGTTAAAGTCAAGCTTGAAATGGTGAAATTATATTTTTATGATGTTTTTGTATCAAAGTCAGGAAGTAACAATTTATCATGTAGTGGAAGTAGTAGTAGTATGAGTAGTAGTAGTAATATTAGTATTAGTATCAGCAGCAGTAGTATCAGCAGTAGTAGTAGTATTCCTGACGTCCCTCTCCCCAGCAAATATTTCCTCCAGTTCTTCCTGATCAACCCAGAGGCGTTCTCAGGTCAGGAAAGATATATAATCTCTCTTACTAGTTGGACAAGCCTGGGGAACCTCTAAAGCAGGGCGTCCAGGAGGATCCTGATCAGATGCCCAAACCACCTCAGGTTGACCTTTTCAAAGTACTGAAGCAGTGTCTCTACTCTGAGCTCCTCTCAGACTCCCTGCAAATTAAGTTCATTTCAGCCGCTTGTATCCTCGATTCTTTTGGTCACTACATAAAGGGCATGACCACAGGTGAGGGTCTGAACATAGATGGACTGATAAATCGAGAGCTTTGCCCTCCGGTTCAGCTCCGTCTTCACCACAACGGTCCGGAACAACGTCTTTATCACTGCTGCTGACGCTCTACCGAACCGCCGCTCCATTTTACCATCACTGGGGAACAAGACCCAGAGATACTTGAACTCCCTTTCTTGGGGCAGTGACTCACTACCAACCCAGAGGGTACAATCCACCATTTTCCGGCAGAGAACCATGAACTCAGACTTGAAGGTTCTGCCTCTCATCCCGACCGCTTTACACTCGGCTGCAAACCACCCCAGTACTGCTGAAGGTCACGTTCTGAAGGAGCAAAGAGATGAGAATCAATTCTGAGGTCCGCAAACCATAAACTCTATTTCCCCCTGGTCTGCCACTCCACAGAAGATGCATCAGCCAAGACAGTCCCAACAAAGTCCAGAGCCTTCAGCATCTCCGGGCCAATCTCATCCATCTCTGCCTCGTCCACGGAGGATGTGTCTGTCGGGTTCAGGAGTTTTCAAAGTTTTCTTTCCACCCTCGAAAACATCCCCAGTTCTTTTCCCCTGCTGAAAACAGATCGAGTCAAGCCGTACTTTCACTTTCTGAGTCGTCTTACGGTTTGCCAGAACGTCCTTGAGGCGAACTTCAAGTCTTTCTCCATAGTCTCCCCGAACTCCTTCCACACCAGGGATTGGTCCACCAGCAAGTAGCATCAGTAGTGTTGTATATTAAGAGTGCTGATATTGCCTTTTAAATTTAGATTAAACATTAAGCAAGGATGAAAATCTTAATTTTTCCATATCCATTTACTCTGGAAGTGGAATAGTCACACGGAGTCAGTCCCCCTATCTCCCCGTGGGACTCCCCCTATCTCCCTGTGGGACTCCCCCATCACCCCGTGTGACTACCCCGTCGACGCTGTGGAGTCCTTCCGCTTCCTGGGTTCCATCATAACCCAGGACCTCAAGTGAGAGCTGACCATCAGCTCTATCACCAGGAAGGCTCAGCAGCGGATGTACTTCCTGAGGCAGCTGAAGACGTTCAACCTGCCAAAGACAATGATGGTGCACTTCTACACTGCCATCATTGAGTCCATCCTCTGCTCCTCCATCACGGTCTGGTATGCTGCAGCCACAGCCAAAGCCAAGGACAAGGGCAGACTGCAGCGCATCATTCGCTCTGCTGAGAGGGTGATTGGCTGCAATCTGCCGTCCCTGCAGGACCTGTTCGCTTCAAGAACCCTGAAGTGAGCAAGAAAGATTGTAGCCGACCCCTCTCACCCTGGACATGAACTGTTGGAGCCCCTTCCATCTGGCAGGAGGCTGCGGTCCATCAGGGCCAAGACCACGCGACACATGAACAGTTTCTTCAGTCTTCAGTCGGGTTCATCAACAAAGACCAGGTCCCCACTGACTCTGTCATCCTCAGGACACCCTCCTACCATCACTCCCCTGCACATCCCTCTATGTTTCTATAGTTAAACACACTTGACACTTTACATTACACTTCATCATACTTGTTTATAGTCCTGTTATCTGTTCGTTTGTGCACTTTATTTTATATTTTACTGTAAATTTTAATATGTTTCTACTTTTTGCACTGTGTTGATTGTTGTTTAATGTTTTGCACCACCCGTCATGTCAAATTCATTGTATGTGCAACAAAAGGTTGTGATTCTGATATTCCGCAGATACTGTACATGTGTTTAAGGAGCTTCTCCTGATTCATTTGGGTTTGTTACTTTAGGTGTTGGGAAGCAGAATAAGGGTGTAACTTGTACTCTCCAACAACCACAACCTGCATGTCCGTCCTGAAAGAGAGAAACTGGATCTCTTTCCTCTCGAGGCGTCGATGCCGCTCTGCTCTTCCTGTGATAACCTCCGGTTCTTATGGGCTAACTCTGTTCAGAACAGTTTCCTCCTTAAAGCTGTCGATGAAGCTCCTTCAGTTCAAGACACTTTTAACATGTTCATCTAACCTCACCCATCCTACCAGATGATGGAGGAGCCGTGTCCTAATCGACATCATTGATTCACTGTAATGTGTTGATTTGCACAATGTGAAATCATAGATATGGAGAACAAGCTGCAGCTATGAAACCTCCACAATCTTCTGAAGCGTGGGTAAGACGTCATCTAACGGTTTTATACGGACGTTTTACATTTTCTGTTTACTTTAACAGCCGTTACAATGTTACGGATTCTTGTTACAGTCTGTGAATCGTTCCACATATTTCATTTTGCCCCAAAACTGAATCATAAATCTGTTTTCAGTGATTATCTGCATATTACTCCAGTTCAGGGAAAGCATTGCTTTGTCAAGTTCAATTTGGGTAAATTCACTGTCATGATAATCGGGTAATAAAAAAAAAATCTTTAGAATAACCAACAAAAGGACTAAAAATAATTGTTGGATTAATTGATATGAAAAACATGGTTCAGTCCTGAAGCAGTAGACCTGAAGAGGTTCTGAAGATGTGTGAGGACTCACCTGGTTGTGTTTCTGGTGACTCGACCTCTGGGAGGAAGTCCACGGCATCATCAGACAGGTGTGGTGGAGGTCTCAGGTGTGGTGGAGGTCTCGTCTCCCTGGGGGGTCTCCGGTGGACCACCGGTGGCTCGACTCTGACGTGGGTCTCCTCAGACTCCATCATCTTCAGTGATTACTGGATCCGGCTGGAAGGACCACCTGTAACAGAGGGACGGTTACCTGGATGAGTAGCATCACACATCACTCCAGTTAGAGACGCTGGAGATCTACAGTGTGAACATCTTCTCCTGATGGTGGAGCGAGTGATGCTCGAGGTCTACAGCGTGAACATCATCTCCTGATGGTGGAGCGAGTGATGCTCGAGATCTACAGCGTGAACATCTTCTCCTGATGGTGGAGCGAGTGATGCTGGAGGTCTACAGCGTGAACATCTTCTACTGATGGTGGAGCGAGTGATGCTGGAGATCTACAGCGTGAACATCTTCTCCTGATGGTGGAGCGAGTGATGCTGGAGGTCTACAGCGTGAACATCTTCTCCT